CTCAGTGGTCTAAAGCACCTACTTGGAACAAGCTTGGCAAAGCACAGGGACCGCGGTTCAATCCCCCAGCACCGCATGCCAGCCAGCCGCGCCCCCTGGTGGGCTGAGCTGGCCACACACACACACACACACACACACACACACACACACACACTAAATGTTAAAATAAAAAAAATTATAAAAAAAATAAAAAAAGAATATTATGATATTTATCTCAAAGTAATACTATGTCATATTGATCCTTAGTTTTTTCTTTTCATCCCAGTGTTCTTAGGGGAAAAAGGTTCTTTGAAAGTTGACTGTTGCTTTGCTTCCAGATTTATTCATCACATCTGGTTCTCTGGACAAGTTTCGATAAATTTGTGAAACTACCTTACCTTGTGAAGCAAAAGGACTTCCAGTCTTAACATGTCTTTAATCTGCTCTACCTCAGAAGTCTGATCCTTTTCCAGAGTTCTCAGCCTATACAACACACATAAATCCATGCATGCCTCAAAAACACAGTTATATAATTCTATAATAGCAAAGAATTTGTAATAAGAACAAATAAATAACCAAAATTAGGAGAAATTTCAGTGAGAAATTAATATCCATTCAAGAACTAAATTGATTGTAGAGATGTACTATCATTTCAAGGAGCAAATAACACAGTGGTGAAAACTTCTTCAATGTGTATAGTCATATAGAATTTGATTTTATTGCAATAGGACCCAAATCCTTAATTTGAAAGAATAAATATACAAAAGATGATGAAGTACTCTGTGCCCAATAGTAAATGCCAGATATCTTCAATTGGTTATTTAAAAAGCAATCCAGAAGGAGAATTTTTAAAAATATATTCTTTTTCTGTTTCAAGTAATTTTATTATTTTATTATTAATTTTATTGAGAAACAAGTAGCAATGAGACAGTTTCAAAACTGATTAGTAGGAAAGTTTCAATATAATACACTACATATTGTTGTCTTCATAATGGTTATTCATAGTACGAGATGCAGACATGATATCTTGTCCAAATAATACTAGTACAAATTTTCTATTCATTGAATTAAGAGAAAGTAGCTTCATATTCATCCTAACTACTTTGAATATACAGGTACAAAAATGGTCCATCATTTGTATCCGCTTTTTTGTTTAATTTTGTCAGAGATAAAATGGTATTCCATTGTCATTTAAATATTGTACATGCTGAATTTAGCAAAATAATCCAATATAGTCCAGTAGTCCATAATAGTAGTAGATTATAGCACCACAGAGGAAAGTGATTGACGATGTGGAGTGTGCCTAAGGAGAGTCACATGGAGAGATAACATTCTCTCAGGCTTTCACAGAGGGCAAATTGGTCAAGAAATGGCCACGACTCATCCACATAGCTGACACTGACAAAGAATCTACAAACGGCGGTTTCAGGGTAAATCCTGAGGGAATTTGACTGACCTTGACAGATACAAAAGTTACATTTCTTGTTATATAGGTCTTGCTTTATCTTGGTCTTAACCATGCATCAGAAAAGTATAAAAATGAGGTATAAAAAGTAAAGCCAAATTAATATGCTGAGCCATAAAAGGCTCAAGTCAACAACTTCTGACATTGTCAGTCCTACAGATAACCCACTACTATTAAATATATATTCATTAATTGATTGATTATTGGTTTATTCTCTGCATTGGATTTGTTTGACATTGTGTTTTTATGCTGTAGATTTATGGCCTAAATTACACTCTGTGATTCTTTCAGGCTTGTTCTGAGTTCCGTCTCTGACTATTTTGCTGCTATGTTTACAAGTGATGTCTGTGAAGCCAAGCAAGAGGAGATCAAGATGGAAGGCATAGACCCTAATGCCCTCTGGGACCTTGTTCAATTTGCATACACAGGTACTGTGAAGGAATTACATTTTCCCACTGATGTCCTATGAGTTGTAGCAAATCTGGTTTGAGTATAGATTTATTGCTTGAATAAAAGACTTCACCAGTGTCTTTTTTCATTTGAAAACTGAAAGTACAATAACTATTATTGGCAACATGCTATTTTAATGTAAAACATCATAGAATATTTAATGTAGGCTTGACATATTTATTTGAAAGGGATAATAAAACATTCCTTAGAGTTGTGAAAACAAAACTAAATTTAGAATTATACCAAAACACAGGTGTAATTATTGATCTTGTCATTATATTTACAGAATTAAAATAATTTTGATAGATGTTTTTGAATCTTTTTTCAATATATAAGTATTTCCTGTATTGTGAAAAAACAAGTAAGTCATCTGTTTGCTCTCCAGAAGCTTACAGTTGGAGGAGATAAAATACTCTGAAAATTATATTTGATAGAGTCCCAAAAGCTAAGGGAAAGTTAGAAGGCAGAAAGCATGCTTTTAATAACAGTATTAGGGTAGCATTGATTTTTTTAAAAAAGTATTGATAACATTAAGATTAGGAAAAAGGGAGATGATAAAATCTTGTAGAATAACAATGGCATATAGTATGGATTGATGGTCTGTTTGATGCAATACTTTTTATAAATAGTATATGTTTCACTTTTCCTGAATCTGATCATACTGCAATTTTATATAAAGAGAGAAAAGCAGGGTAGGACATCATTACCAATTCAGCAGTGTCCCAGTTTACAAAGTTGTATTTTCCTGGTAAAAGAAATGAAAGTTAGCATTGGAAAGTTAAACCACTGGAACCAAATATCCTGGAAGTGTTGGACTCTTGTCTTTTGTAATGTTTTGCTTTGTCAGGGTCAGGAATTTGCTAATTATGTATGACATTTAGTAGATGAAGTCTCTCAGGGAAAAAGAAAAACACATACACTGTAAGTACAAGTTTCAATATGAGAGAAAAATTGACATTTTCTTAGTCTCAAAAATTTCTAGCTAACATTTGACGAAACAAAACTTCCACCAAGATAAACACGGAACTCAAGGTTTTATTCAAGTTTCCTGCAGAGAGTAGAGATACCAATACTCCGGCTGAAACAAAGGTTGTGAGAGCCTTTCCTCATTGGAGTGAGGGAGGTAGCGGTGACTGTGTTTGCTCATTGGTCTTACCAAAGGAAGTGTGAATTTGTTCTTGGATTTGCAGTGAGGTACTGTCACAATTTATAGCAATGTATCTACCTGTTATTCACCTTCCCCCAAAAAAGAAACTACAAGATAGAGAAGCTATGTTCCTTAAAGGTTACATGTTTTTGTGTGATTTCTTTATTTATATTTTATAAAGACAGTACAAAATAATATTCAAACAGAAAAATTACAAATGATACAGAATTTTACTTAAGAAATTGAAAAATAGAGCATTAGGGTTCCTGAGCAAAACATTGCTGGGTTACAAAACAGGCATGAAGCTTCAGAAAATACAACTGACAGCAAGAGACACAAACACAATTTTGAATTTCTTAAAGTAAATTCTCTAAGTCAAGTGAAAATTAAGAATTTTGAGTTTATCCAAATTCAGCCAAACTGAAAGTACAACTAACACCTTCTTGATTCAATTCCATCTTGCTTACACTATCAAACAATAAGAAAAAAAACACTTATTAGTTAAGATTTTTTCCAAATCTTGATAGCTGAAAAAAAGAGAAGCACTTTTCACTCTGTTAGTAATTTTTTTGGTGGAACCTGGGATTGAACTCAGGCCCTTGCGCTTGCCAGGGAAGCACTTATTCCACTGAGCCATCTCCCCAGCCCCTGTTAGTAATTTCTTTTGATGTGCAGAATCTTCTCAACTAAGAGAAGATCCCAGTTGTTAATTCTCTCAAGTATTTTTCATGCAGTTTGATATTTGTTCATGAAATGTATGCCTATACTATGTCTTCAAGATTTCCACCTACTTTCTCTTCCAGGAGATTTAGTGTTTCTATTTTAATGTTTAGGTCTTTAATTCATTTTGACTTTAGTTTAGTGTGTGGTGATAGACCTGGGTCAAGTTTTAGTTTTAGGCATATAGAGAGCCACTTTTTCCAGCACCATTTGTTAAAGAGGCTACCTATGATCTTTGGACTGGATTCAAGTATGAAAATGTCCTTAAAGACTTGCTCAAATGCAGCTTCTCTAACTGCAATGGAACAACCATCTCTGACAAAAAAAAGAGAATACAAATAAAGGACTGTTATGTTGAGAAAAAATATATATGTAAGATAGGATAGATACACAGCTACTTTCTCTTAGTTCATTGGGAAGAAATGTTTGTACTAATATTATTTCAACAAGATGTCATTTCTGCACCTTGTCCTATGAATAACTACTATGAAAAACAACAATGTGCAATGCATTAATTATTGTAATGGTCCTTCTAACCTATTTTGAAACTGTTTCATTGCTATTTTATATTTTTTCCTCATTAAAATGAATAAAAAGTAAAAAATCAAAATCAAAATCTTGATAGCTGAAAAAAAGAGAAGCACTTACCTCTGAATTACAAGGAATCAAACATAATCACCTGGAATGGGAAGAATTCTGAGACTAATGTTGTAGTGATCCTTTCAGCAAGAGAAAACCACAAAGTTTACATTTCTCTCCATGGCCTGGCATGATGTAGTTTCCTGTTTGCAAAACTAGGTCAAACGCCACTGGACATCCTGCTGCACGAAGTTGGAAGGTGTTTCAATGCTCCCTGCTCAATTTAATGACCCAGACATGGATCTGTTTTATAGAGGGAAGACAAAGAGTCTTCCCTCTAGCCATTGTTCTATCCACTCTTGCACCTGATAGTTAATGAACTTCTAGTTGTATGTTTAGAGGAAATGTGTCAATTGATCCAATAATCTGTTTGGTATGAGTGGAGAGGTTGTAGGCATGAGCTAAAATGTTTACCTGCATATAATGTAACAAGCTATAACAACAGAAAGGCCCAGTGAACAATAGTACAAAATAAGAAAAACAGAAAGTGCTAAGTGTCTAGTTAGCTCACTAGCTAACTGATCTAAAAGACTTCCATTTGGAGAAAGCTAAGTATAAATTTATCCTAGAATGAAGAAAAAATAGGAGTGGGAACATTATGCAAGTAAAGTTTCAGCCATATGACAATATATTTGCAATGTTAAAGGTTTGTGAAGATATGGAGAAACTAAAGAGAATCATGTCTGTCAAGACTTGACAGTTATTAGTAATAGGAACATGCTCAGTAGATGTGCATTGCAATATTTATGTAATTGCAAAATTTCCATAAAATCTGTAAGTGTAAGACGTGAAAGCACCGTAACTGGCTAATTTATTTTATGTGCTTGAAAATTAAAGAATAAATGAATAAAATAGCTTGAAATACATTTTGGCCGATATAGATTTGAATTCATATAGAATTTAATAATCTTTGATTTGGGGGAAGAAGGGTCATCTTTCTAACAAGCATATGTAGCAAAATGTGTGCATAGTAAGACATGAGAATCCTCCTTCACATTTACTCTTTGCTTGTTCTAGTCCAATAAATTACATGAGAAAGAATGAGAACAAGGACTTGGGAAGTTTCAGTAAGGACTAAAGAAAATGTTTAGTCTTCTTATCCTGTGTACTAGATATCAGAGAGTGAGTACCATGACAACACAAGTTTTAAGA